AAAATAGATGACTAACTTTTTTAGGCTAGTCTAAGCAGTTTATGCAACCAGCCCCTGATTTTACTCTTAAAAAACACTTTTGTTGGTGTTACCAACCTACCTACTTTAATTTTTTGAGTATGGATTTAGTTATTGCATATTAATGAACATTTCTGTAAGTGTTCCAGTTTAGCTATTACAGCTAATTTTAAGTTAAATTAATCTGTTTAATGTAATCAGGTTGTTTTAGTCCTATTAAATAATATTTTTTATTTAAATAAAATCAGTTAATTTACATAAATTAGAGATTTTTTATGTAATATATTTATTTAATTTTTATATATTTTTCTATATTATTTTGATATATATTTTATGTAGTAGATATATTTTTTGGGCTATTATTCATGTAAACATTTGTACAATGTAGGATCCTGGAAAATAAATGTTTAATTCTAACGAAAGCCTGACAAACCTGCAAGTCTCTTAATACTGAAGATATTTTGAATTGATGTCATTGTGTTGTAATATTAAAATTTATGGGAACAAATTCTCAGGAGACCATTTATGAACATTATTTAATTGATTGATCACAATGATTAAGTTATTTGGTTATTATATACAGTTATTGAGTTGAGTAGCTGTTGAACTATTTACTATTTAAACTTACATAGTTAAAACTAAAGTATATTCTAAATATATAAGTCATTCAACAATTTAGGGTACATTTCACATCCATTGATGATAATTATATATATTTTTCAGAAATATAATATTTTGTACATTAATTGGAATCATATTATAATCTCACAAATATTTTGTGCACCCTATGTTTCAGCTTGCTTGAAAATGTCCCTTAAATGAGAGTTTTTGCAGTGGTTTTCATTTTTTTTAAGTGAGTTCAAAATAATGAATAAAAATGGTTAAAGCAAAATTGATCTATATTCTGCGTTTCTCCTCCATATGTGTGCACCTAGCATGTCTGAGGTGACTGAGGGCTGAAGAAAGTGAGCAGAATGGTTCATTCAGCTGCAGTACCGTACTAAACTTCCTCGAGTAATGCTGGGAGACAGGAGAGCTGTATGTCTGCAGAGTAACACATGACAGGTTCCCATAAGCCAGGCAATCCTGATGCTGCCCAGTAGGTCCTGCTCTCTCCTGGGAATGAAGCCATATCTGAGTCCCCTATGACAGGTAGGAGTCGCATGCATCATTTATTTATGAATGTAAAATCGCGCTCCCTTTGGGGCAGTGAACATCTGGCACCGGTGCTGTTCTATTCCGGGAGAATCACTCCACCCTGCTCATGCAAATACGACTTTCACTTCTGGTTTTATGCTCACAGGTTCATTGGTTAAATGCATTGGACTGAAACAGATATGTTGGTTGTTTTTATTTACTTATTTATACATTTAATAGAGACTTGAGTTGTTTTTCATAATCACATTTTTATTGGAGAACATTGTTTTTAAATTTGTGTTTTAATGTAAAAATATATATAACATATATACTATATATATAGTATTAACATATATACTATATATAGCTTTAATTATTAAACACACAAACACACACACAAATATATATATATATATATATATATATATTTTTTAAGACTCTCACAAAGCTCAGTATTCATATTCATGATATTTTTAGTCAGATCCCCCATGAAGAATCCCACTCATATACTGCCACTAGATGGCTGTAGAATACAGAATTCCACAGCTTCCATCTCCATGGCGACCACACTTTTGACATCATTCTGTAATGGAAACATTTGCAATTTTTGTCATCAGACACAAAGATGCTCCAAATTCACGTTTGCCCACTTTTCATCTTAACTCTGGTTAAAAATCACTTCCCTTCCATCTACCTTTCTAGCAATTTTTAAACTAGAATTGCCAAACAAAATATTTTATTTCAGAGTGTGGAATTTTTTTTTTAGGCTGACTACACTCCTCTTTGTATGTTTGGTATGTCCTAGTTTTAGGTTTTCTTTTCGTCACTTATTCTTATCTCCATCAAGGAAAGTTGTTTTCTAACTTCTGTTATTACCACTAGGTGGCCTCAGTAAATTTCCGAGAGCGATGAAAAATGTCTTAAAATTATGTTTAATAGTATGTAATTTTATCAATATTTTAAAAACTAAAATAAAGGAATATTTTTAGATATTAAAGGAACATTTAAAGATATTAAAATTAATTGATTAGAAGCCTTAGTAAGCAGATTAGAAGAGACTTCTTTTAAAAGTCTTATATAACCTTTATATAATGTGTGTGTACAGTATAATTTATGAAGAATGTCCACAGTAAAAAAATCCGAATTACAGCTTTCTTAGGTATCTCTTTTTTCCTTTTCTTTATAATATAATAATGAATCATTTCTTGTACAGACATCCCTAGATTCTGTTAATAAGACCTTAGAGTTATAAAGGTTGAGAGCTGCCACTGATCTAGAGCAGTCTAAACTGTCACAGCTTCAGGCTACATTGGCCAGCATGTAATAATTTAATTTTCCATGCAAAATAGCCTTTGGGCTGAACGTCATTTCAATATTCATTGCACAGGTACAGCAAGATTAGGTAAAGTTTGTCACTGGATGTTCTCTTCTAATTTCCAGTCTTTTTTTTTCAGGCAACAATGATGAAGATATGATCTGTGATAGCGACAATTGCTTTTCATTTTTTTCATACATGTCATTTCAAAAATTACACTGTCATGCATAATTTTGCATATTTAATTCAGAGCTGCTTCTCTAGAGCTCTGAATACTTCAGCTGAAATGGTTTATTTTTGTTTATTTGGCTTTTTTCTTCAAATGGCACATACTAAGATAGCTGGTGGATAAACAATATTATTCTTGGAAATGAAAAAAGGAGAAGAAAATGAAATTTCGCCAGTTTATTATGCTCTCAAACTAATTTAAGTAGCTTCCCAGAGACAAAACAGCAGAACTGATTTGAAAGCCTTAAATGTTCTCATAGTGCAAAATCAATAAATTCATCTAAAAGCATTTACCTTAGACCTTATACGTCTGAAACAAACATCCAAATAATGTGCACAATTCTGTGTTAATGTCAGTTTTAGCTATGGCCAAATCTGCCATCGTAATATCTCAAACCCATGTAATGGCAAATTCACGGTCTCCCTGAAATGGCTTTAAAATGCTATTGCAGGCATTAAGGCACTTCAGTTCACGCAGGAGAGCTGCTTTACTGTCATTCTGAATCCTGAGAGAGCAGTTTGAGAGGTGGAGATAAGACGGGATACTGTACACAGGCTACAGAAAGCGTCTCGCTCCACACCTCTCCTTTATGGGAACTGTAAATCCTGACTGCCTGCAGCAACTTCCCTCATTCATTTTCAAAACGTTATCATAGTCATATGAAGAGCATTGCATACTAGATGTTTGTCTGATGTTACCTTAATCATATAGATTAATATAAAGATTACTGTTATTTCACAAATTACAATTAATTAAATGTTTATTACACAAATACTACTTTGATAAGTTGCACCATCCAGTATTTTCTAATATTCACACATGGCAACGCCATATAGAACCGGTGCTACTTTCATGTCACTCATATCACACTAACTTGTATGGAAGCTTGTTTCTGCCAAGGAATAAAACGAAGAAAAAAAGATATTTGCTACTTTTTATCTCAAAATTCTGACTTTTTTCTTACAACTGCGAGTTAATATCTCACAATTTCAAATTCTAAATGCGGAATTGTGAGTTTACATCTGACTTCTTTTATCACAAATCTCGCAAATTATTATTTTTATGTTTAAAAAAAAAAAAAAAGATAATTGCGACTTTTTATCAATTCTGACTTTTTTCCTCACAGTTGCGAGTTTATATCTGATAATTTGAACTTTTCTTCTCAACATTTTCCTAACATCTTAAGACTTTTTTTCTCAGCAATATTTAAAATCTCGCTATTGCAAGTTATAAAATAATCATATTGTAATGGAGCCGACGAGGTGTGAGGCGTGAGGATCCATGTGCAAGCTTTTATTTATAAACATGGTCAGAA